TAGCCTTATCAATTCTATTGGACAAGCTGTGTAAGGTCATAGGCTTGCTGGGTCAAAACACTACTCTTGAACAATGTTCCATCTCAATACTGTCCGATATACTGCTGCATACAAAGCATACTATACTTAATAATTTATTATGAATATATTGTGCGGCCTAAAAATATCTGACATTAGGGATATAATTACTTTTTTTTTAATGGGATCCGATTAAAAAGGCAATTATAAAAGAGCGTGGTTTAATAAACTAATATGGAGAAGACATAAAAAGTCTTTAGCTGCATAAAGGTGATTTAAATCAGAGGTTTATTCAGGCTGAAGATATTACAAACCCCCAAAATATTAGTTACTATTGCCTATGTAAATGTAACTATTCTTGTATGTATATGTTATGGCCTACAGTGAGTTCTTCTGCATACACTCTGTTCAGAACCTGCACTTAATCACTTAGAGTGCAGATTTAACCAACTGCAGCATTTCGTAATCACCCCACAAAGAGCCTCTGACACAGCCTGTGCATTTTACAAAGTGTGGATGATAATTCTGTAGGCTGAACAGTTGAAAAACTTTAATAAAGCAGTTAAAAATCACATTGATCGTGGACCTGTGAGGGACATTGACACACTCCCTGAAACTAATGTGCATAGATTTTTAAAACAAGTACTACTTAATTAACAAGAAGAAAAAACTTTTTATTAGTGATTTTGTTGAGCCGGTGGCAGGAATAAACCTTAAAGTAAATGTTATATAAAACAAGCATATTAAAATTATACCAGTTTACACTCTTGTCTTTCTCAATTTTTCTTAATTTGTAGCTCTAGCCTTCTAATTTACAGTTATATCTTCATTTCGTTTTAGAAGATTTTTTTTAAGTCATGTGAACATCTGCTTCCTCTTGCTGGTCCTGGATGCTCCTGAATTATCAGAGGATAATCAGTGCGGCTTCTTACAGGGTCTCTGGGGAACATCACAATCATCACAATGTCACAAACACAATTACTGCATTTACAAACTCTGAGAATGTATCTCCATGAATATCAAAAGAGTCATTTCCCATCATTGGATGATTTTTTTTTTCACTGGGGAGAATAATGTTGATGAGAATAATGAATAATGAAGATTTCTGCATGATGTTTCTGAAATTATGGGGCACTGAATCAGGTTCTCCCCTTCAGAGGCAGTAACAGGAGCCTTCCTTTTGGGGAGAAGTAATGTGTAATATTATATTTATTTGGTGTCTATACACATCGACTAATTTTCAGTAGTTTAATATTAAATATTGCAACTTTAAAATATTTTGTCGGATTATATATTATTTCTCCAGATCTGTGAGTCACACAGTGTGTGGATTTTTTAATCTGTAATCTTTATAAAATTTTATACTTCATGGAATACCCCCTCCCCCAACCCCGGTTCCAAACCTTTATTTTGAAATGTCATCTTGTCATCTTTTAATACAATCAAATGTAGATGACATCATGGAACAAAGAAGAAAACTCAAAAAATAAGGCTGTGTCAATGGGTAATATAGTTTGAGGGCAGGCTTTTAAGTTGAAATAGGCCTTATTAGTGGGCAAGTTTTCCTAATGACTGAGTGGTTCTCAGAAATCATGATATTGGGCTTGTTTGAGATGAAGTGTGCTTGGCTTTCGTGGTTGGCAAGAGTAGTTGCTTGCAGTTATACAAGAGTCGAGAAGAGGAGATGAGAGCCGCCAAGCCAGACAGTGTTACCGGCAGCACCCCATGTGAGCCGGCAATTCATTTTTTGAATTGAACCCACAACCTTAGTCTTCAAAGGTGGATACTTTCATTAGAATACATTTTCAGTTTATCATTCTATACGTTTCAAATTTATAATCAATCACTGATATATTTGTAGTCCTTTAAGTCAGAATAAGCCAGGTCACAATACTGTATTCAAATCTTGCAGCCACAGTGTGCTTAAAAGTCATTATCCTTGCAATATTTATTAATCTTCAGACTCCACAGATTGTTTAAGACCAATCTTGAGGTCATTTGAGGAGCTCCCATTAGTGTCTGGATAAAATAATGCAATATTTTATAATTTAGTGATCATGGATGAAAATCAATTTGCCTGATGTCCTGTGTAATTTAGGAACATAAATATATTTGCAAACTGTTAAATCGTATTGAGCTGTGCCGTTTGAAACCATTATCGTTTCTTTGTTTTAATCTTGGAAAGAAATAATGGTATTTTAGACTGTTGGCAGTACAGCATTGTAAGAGCCAACTTAGGCCGATTCAAGCCAAATTTTAAAGGCTTCTTCAGCTGATCATTGTGTATTTATGAATCACATTTGGTCACAATCAGAGCATCAGTGATGGATTTATAGCCCCTTGTGTCAGAATAAGCCAGGCTTAAAATGCAAGATTTTAAGACCAAGTTTCAGAACATGTAATAAAAGTTCAAGGAGGGTTGTGAAAAAAAATCACTTTTCAAACTTCGATGATTACTGGAAGACAACAGGTTTTTTTTCTCTTTTTTTGGAAGACTTGCATTTGCAAACTTGTCAGCTCCCTCTAGTGGTCAAACAAAATATAGGCATGCCTGATTCTGTGACGGGTCTGTGAGGATGGGTTCAAGTCAAATTGCCATATTTTCTGTGCAGTTTTGGAACGTTTTAGGTCCTCATGAGATGTGCAGTTTGCAACCATTAGTGTTTCTTTATTTAAATTGTAGAAAGAAATAATAACATTTAAGTAAATTCAAACATGATTAAGTACTGTAGGGGTCTATGCAGACCAATGTAATTGAAACATTATGTGCATCCTCAGATGATGAATATATACGTTTCTTCCAAATTTGGGCACAATCAGAGAAACATTGATGGATTTATAGCTCCTAGTGTCAGAATAAGCCAGACTGAACACACTGACTGTCTTTTAGCTATTCTGTTAATTAAAGATGTTTTTCAATAACTGTTTACCTACAGACTCCATAGATTGTTTTACGAACAAGTTTGAATCCAAAGACTAGTTTGAACAGCTAATTTTTCAAACATTGAACAATTGCAGAAAACATTTTTTTAAAGAATTTATATATAAATAATCTATAGAGATTTTTGTAAGGTATAATTTTTAGTGATTTATTTTTATCCATGATATTATTAGTATGATTTCTACAACCCCATTTCCAAAAAAGTTGTGACACTGCGTAAAATGTAAATAAAAACAAAATGCAATGATGTGCAAATCAATCAATTTAATTGAAAATAGTACAAAGACTACATATCAAATGTTGAAACTGAGAAATTTTATTGTTTTTTGTTTTTTTTAATGTATGCCCATTTTGAATTTGATGCCAACAACATGTTCCAAAAAAGTTGGGACGGGAGCAACAAAAGGCTGGTAAAGTTGTGCAATGCTAAAAAAACACCTATTGGTTAATTGGCAAAGGTCAGTAACATGATTGGGTATAAAAAGAGCATTCCACAGAGGCTGAGGCTTTCAGAAGTAAAGATGAGGAGGGGTTCACCACTCTGTGAAAGAATGCACAATCAAATAGTGCAACAATGCAAGAATATATTTCTCAACATAAAATAGCAAAGAACTCATTGTCTACTGTACATAATAACATTAAAAGATTCAGACAATCTGAAGAAATCTCTGTATGTAAGGGACAAGGCCAAAAAATAGTATTTGCTGGCCATGATCTTTGGGCCCTTAGATGGCACTGCATTAAAAACAGACATGATTCTGTAGTGGAAATCACTGCATAGGCTGAGTAACACTTCTGAAAACCAGTTCCTATGAAAACAGTTTGTCGCTGCATCCACAAATGCTAGTTAAAATTCTAAAACGCAAAGAAGAAACCACATATAAACAGGATCCAGGAATGCTGCCACCTTCTCTGGGCCTGAGCTCATTTAAAATGGACTGAGTTGAAGTGGAAAAGTGTCCTGTGGTCCAACAAATCAACATTTGAAATTCTTTTTGGAAATCATGGAAGCTGTGTCCTCCAGTCTAAAGAGGACTCAAAAGCCAGTATTCATGATGGTACAGGGGGACATTAGTGCACATGGCATGGGTGACGTGCCCATCTGTGAAGGCACCATTGATGCTGAACGATATATACATGTTTTGGCAACATATGCTGCCATCCAGATGACATCTTTTTAAATGAGTGCATGTATGTAGTTAAAATTCACACTTGGAAAAAAAATGTGACGCTTTTTCCACATTTTTCTACTGCCTCCTCTTTGAGAAGACCACATGGCTAGTGGCCCCCAGGTTATTTAAATTTGAGACCCCTTCTCTACATGCTTAAAAAAAGTGGGAGTTTATATGGTTTATATTCAGTTGCATTTACGTGGTGATTCTGGTGATTTGGACTTGAGTACTAGAAGGTCTTGGTGTTGACTCTGACTTGATGAGTCCACGTCTTAGTCTTGACTACAACACTATGGTTTGACATAGAGAAGCCTGCATGCAGTGATACTCTTTTTAAACTCTTTAAAAATATCTACCTCAAGAGTTGAATTACCTATTTTTAATAAAGCTAAATGCAATCATTCAATGCAAGCAATTACTCAAATTACTCAATTTGTAAAAAAATGGTTTGTAGAAAATTACGTTTCTCCAGACAGTTTCTCACATTATTAATAAAGAGATTCTTTTAAACTTGCACTTTATTTTTATTATGTGGGTACATCAGTGAATTGGGTGGATGAATTACACATGTATGCAATGGGAAACATATGTCCTGTTGGTTTATGTCATTCCATTCTCTAAAATGACTGAAATGAATCGCATATTACTGCAGCAATACCAAATTCACACACAGTATGCGTGAACATCACATTAATTATTTACAACTTAATGAATAAACAACAAATAAATAAATAATTAAACAGAGCAAAGGGCAAAATAGGCAAAAGAGCTACCAACCCATAAATTAACAGAGAAACTGTGTAAAGATAATTATTGTGATTATGGTCTACTGCAATACAGGAAAGTGTCCAGCAGAGAGCACTGTGGGTTCATATCCACCCCCCATAAAGCAGCTTATTGGGTAGGTACACACGGGTAAGGAAATGAGGAGCTATAGATGCAAGGCACTGGATCTCAGCTTTCTGCTTACATGTCAGCATGATATCCATCTTAGAGATACAGACACATACGCACACAGACAAACGGTCATACACATCAATATACGAGACCTACAGACTAAATAACTTCCTGACTTTTGTATCTTTCAAGATCCACAGAGAAACTTGCTCTGAAAAACCCAGACACTTTATTCCACTGAGGGAGTGTCCTAAGCACAACAGTCACATTTTAATAGGCTGTGTCAGATATTCAGCATTTCAGTAAATTAGAAAAGTGATCAATTTAGCACCACACATTGCTTAAAAGTAGACAATCTCTTAAATATAAAAGCCACTAAATCTTCAGAAATTACTAGCAAAACATGGAATTTTAAATTTGTTTGGATGTAAAACTGGATCAGAGTCACTCCCTGTATTTACCTCTCTCTCCCATGCAGGCTGGCAAGAGATGTAAGGTCTTTTTCTCAGACTTATCAGCTTGCTCTCATCGCTCTTTGTGAATGGAATCAGAGCATCCTGTGGCACCTCAAGCCTGGATCACACAAACACACCATGTGTCAGTATATCAGAAGGGACAGAGAGGCTAGGGTTTGACTATGTTCATGGAACAAAATTATTAAGTTAAGGGTTGCGTCAATCGATGCTGATAGCTGAAATTTTTATGTAGGCTACATCGACCAACGCAGATGTCTGAACTTTTAGAAAATGTAGAAGCTGGAACTATGTCTACTGTACCTGCATTAATAGTATGGAGAAAAACAGTTATTTGTAAAGGGTTACAAATGCAGTAACATGAATACATTTTTTTATTTTTGCACTATAACCTTTTGTTGCCTATATGTTTTATTCTTTTTGAGTACAATAAACACATCATCAAAGATCAGTTTGAAATATCTGTAAAATCGGATAATTTTTAAAGCAATCATCTGTCGATACCTGCCGATATGATACCTGATTAGGTTTATCATAATCTGTACTGAAATGATTGATGAACTGATTAAAACTATGCGCTAAACCTTGCACACCAAGCAGTTTAAGCTTGTGTAGTGCATAAACTCCACTGGATTAGAGAGCAAAAAAAGAGAGAATTTGGGAATCATCCAAAACTGCATTTAATAATGAACATTTTTGCATTCTACAAATAACTGTCTCAAGGACACGTTTTTTTCTTGCAAGAATATTTTCCAAACTCTAGACATCTTATTTATATGTATTTTAGGTTATAACCACAGTTACGTCTGTTTATTCAGGTTTCTAAATTACTTTAAAGAGGCCATGATTTCATTTTCACCATATAATGATCAAACCCACAATAAGAGCTGTGTTTAGAGAGGGAAGGAGAAAAAAACAGCAACAAAAACCAAAACAAAACCAAACAAGCAGCAATCCTGTGAAGATAGCCTTCTTCTCCAGCCACAGAGTGGAGAAATGAAGTGGCTTTTCCAAACCTTTCAATATCTGAAGGCAACAGGCCCATCCACAGGATACAGGGGATGGCCAGACTTGGGGCCTCAAAGGCCATTGACTGGAAACAGAAAGCAGCAGAAACTTTTAGGCTATACAAATACTGGAGCATCACTTTGCACAAGCTGAACTGTAGAAAAGCCAAACAAGGAAGTATTCTGTGCAGAATTTATAATTTGCAAGTGTAAGACTGGGTGCTAAAAACAATCAGCTTGATATTTTCTTGTTAAAAAATCAGGTTTATTGATTATATCAAAATACATACAGCACAATCCCTTGCAGCATGATACATCATGAAATTCCCAAATTGCAGACTACAGAACTTACCATGGATCCATACTTATAGACGCACATGATCTCAATGCCTGAGAAAAAAAAGGAAAAGAGAGACTGATTCTGCAATCACCACCGTCGTACTCTAGCACAGGGGTTATGAATTCAGTTCCATTTATTGATTTACTTATCATTTAAATACCATGCTTAGCAGGGAAAAGAAATTTTGAAAAGCAATATGTATTTTTAAAAGAGAAGTATTCAGATGTTTCAGTGCTCAGTTTTTGTAGAGCAATTTCTATTTGATATACAGGGAGTAAAAATGCCTTAGTCACAATTACTAAATATAAAGAAAAAAAGAATTCGCATTTCAGATGGCATTTTTGTAGTGTTGTAGCTCGCTCTCCAGTGACACTCACAGCTCACAAAGCAAAGAAAGGGTTCATTGGTACCAGGCGAAAATACTACCAACAATGTGCAAACGAATTGTTTTTTCGGTCACAGCATCATCAAGATTCAACCTTGGGATTTCCCAATGAAAAAAAGGGCAAAACTCTGTAAGGTTGTGCCATCAGGACATCCAATATGAGCAACCCCTTGTTTAAATCTACACTAAATATACACTATATGCCACCCCCACACACACCCTTTTGCAACTTTAACAGCTTACAATCTTCTGGAAAGGCTTTCCACAAAATTTCAGAGTGTGTTTGTGGGAATTTGTGCCTATTCAGTCTGCTTTCACAGTTTCAGTGTGACTATGTCTTTTATCATTTTTGACTGAAGTATTATGCAGTAGTTGTATAAACAAATATGTTTAATTAAACAACAGTTAGTTCCAGCCACGCAAGCTGATTGGTTGAGAAGCGTTCTAACCGTGCTGATATTTCGCCATAACATCATGGGTTTGTCACAAGCACTGTATCACTCTGCTAAGACGCCGATGCTAAGCAATGAGTTTGACTGCTGTAGGAGACGCTCAAGCCATTTGAACGTTTTTACTTCTTACTTAGCACACAAACAGAAAATTGATACTTTTAAAATTACATTTCACCTACAGCCCATTTGGTCAAACTCTGAAGATGAGACTACACTAAATTCTCAAACTGTCATTACCACTGAGCAAACTTTTCAGTCGGCAGCTGTGACAGAAGAAAACCTAAACAACCTGGAATTAGCCAGAAATGAACCGAATACCATTTACCAAACGTGTAGTCTCATCCTCAGAGTCTGACCAAATCGGACTGAGCCATAAAACTGCCACAATAAAAAACAAAAAAGCTTGCTCAGTGGTAATGACATTTTTGGAATTTAGTGTAAGGAGCTGGGGAATTAACTGCTGGCTGTAAAGTGAGTGAGCGGAGCTCGTTACTCTGACGTAACAACAAGCTTCTTGTTAAGGAACTATAATTTGGTGGAAGGAATTGCTAACATTAAACATATTAAATGACACGTTCACGGCCCAATTTATTAATTTCTTACTTTGATTATTTAACTGTTGTATAAAAGCAATAGAACACTCGAGGTCGCGTGTTACCGTGTATAACATCACGGCTGTGATGATCTATGGCACTTGTCTTCGGCTTGTGCCTGCAACCAAATCATAGCCATTATGTTATTTCGTGATAACACACTCCCTCTCATGTTCTATTGCTTAAACATACCGTGTGGGTCTGCATCCACCAAAGCAAAGACTGGAATATGCAGTGTGTCCCACAGTTTCCTCACCATTAGTCTGCTGTTGACATCTGGTACACCTTTACCCTAACAAAAACAGATCAACAGTCAGTCTTCGACAACCCTCCTTCTCTACTCTCTCACTTCCTCTCTCTCTCTCACACACACAAACACACACACACCCACACACACACACACAAATATGCACACTTTATCCAATGTCCAGCAACTAATGCACCAGACATACTTACAGTTATGATGACACATGGATGCAACCGAGTGCAAAACTCGTCATCCAAGAGCCTCTGGAAAGTTGCATCTTTTTCAACAACTAGAACAAATTTTGCAGATGACACAATACCTTAATGCATAAGGAAAAAAACATTTACAAATATGAAGGAGGTACCAATGTGGAAGAAATGTCTGGGCCAACAAGAAGAAGTGATAATTTCATTTTTTTTTTTTTAAAACAAGTTTACATCATAATCCACATATGAAGTGTAAGAATGTAAAGCGGATAATTTGTTGGATGGATAAATTATTGATTTATTAATATAGTTATCTCAGATATGACAATTATTGTCAAATTTGACATTATTTTATGCACATTTTTACAGTAATAATAAGTAATTTTCCCATTTATGGACAAATAATACATTATAATGGGCACCCCTAACAAACACATGCACACATTAATGCACACAAACATCCACATCAATGTATAACAATGTTATTAACTCTTTAAGTGAATGAAAAGGATACTTGTAATCCCACTGACATTAGAGGACACAGGGACTGCCTATGGACAAATGTATTTTTCAATCATTAGAAATTCAGGCTGGTTTTGAATACCAAACATAAATACACCGGTTTCACATACTCAACATAAAATCAGTAAAATCTTTATGTAACAACTCTGTGTAGTACACTCACTAATATTGGCAGCAACTTATCTGTGGACTGAACCTGGAGACTATGACAAACACAAAGACTGTGACGAAAGATGAACAACAGAAAGGATGATGTTTTGGCTGACCGTATGTTATTCTCATGGAGTCAGAAATGATTACATATTGAGAACATATAGGCAAAAACCATAAGAGATTTTGGGCTGAATATGGGTGGGAACAAACTGAGTTTAAAATTTCTAGACCAATCCAGGGTGGAGCTGAAAGTAGGGTGTGATGAAGCCAACATTGTCTGATAGACAGCCAGCCTATTGTTAGCCTATAGATAAGTAAGCATGGCTGAAAAGCCCCCCCTCAAAAAAGCATATAGATGTGTGGGGCAGAGTGTGTGTGCAGAGAACACACTACATGCAGTAAAAATAAACATTACCTCTTGCAGGAGAAAAACAATTGTGTTGGCTAACGATAGTATTTCATTAGCTAGTTTGTGCTACCAATCGTAATCCAAAAATTAACAGAGCACAGATTGATAGGTTTTAGAGTGTACCCTTGTTAGTGCATGTTTGTTGTTTGTAGCTGTCCCTAGACATGTATTCTCATTACAAGATCATGTCTGACCCTTCAAGACTAACTTATATAAGTACTGTGTGTATAGTTTGATGATGGTTCTGACTTACTGCGGAACTAGAAGAACACTCCACCCTCGTGCCATCTGCCTCCAAGTAACACAGATCACCAGAGATAAATCCTTTAGAAGTGGCAAGCTGCAAACGGATACACACACACAAATGTCAAACTCCTCCACATTCAAAAATGACAAACTGCAAAAAATGACAAGATTATTAGCATTCCTTGTGGTTTAATCAAGAGAAGTGTTCTTTGAATATGATAAACGGTTGTTTGAATATGCAGGTGCTTCCAAAGGAATTCTAGATTAAAAGAACAGCTTATTACAAGGCAGATTAAAATATACATCAGTGGTTCTCAGTCCATCCTGGAGACTTAGGCACTTATATTTTCTGTGTTCTAATTACACCTAATAAAGATTAATGGAAATACAAAACATGATCTGAATCAGATGTGTTATAACAGAGAACAACTATAGTCCCTGGAACTGAGATTGAGAAACACTGCTACACATCACCATGAATACAAGTGTGTGTTGTCAATATCATATATGTTATATACTGTATTACAACCCCATTTCTAAAAAAGTATGGACGCTGTGCAAAATGTGAATAAAAGCAAAATGCAATGATGTGCAAATCATTTAAACCCTATATTTCATTGAAAATAGTACAAAGATAATTTAGCAAATGTTGAAACTGAGAAATTTTATTGTTTTTTGAAAAATATAGCCCATTTTGAATTTGATGCCAACAACATGTTCCAAAAAAGTTGGGACGGGGGCAACAAAAGGCTGGTAAAGTTGTGCAATGCTAAAAAAAAAACACCTGATAGTTAATTGGCAACAGGTCAGAAACATGATTGGGTATAAAAAAAGCATCCCAGAGAGGCGGAGTCTTCCAGAAGTAAAGATGAGGAGGGGTTCGCCACTCTGTGAAAGAATGCATGAGCAAATAGTGCAACAATTCAAGAATAACATTTCTCAAAATAAAATAGTAAAGAACTTCTGTTTCTCATCATCTATGGTACATAATGACATTAAAAGATTCAGAGAATCTGGAGAAATCTCTGTATGCAAGGGACAAAGCCAAAAAACAGTATTTACTAGCCATGATCTTTGGGCCCTCAGGTGGCACTAATTCTAATTCTCTAATGGAAATCATAGTATGAGCTCAGTAACACTTCTAAAAAACCACTGTCTGTGAAAACAGTTTGTCGCTGCATCCACAAATGCAAGTTAAAACGTGAAGAAGAAACTGTACATAAACAAATCCAGAAACACTACCACCTTCTCTGGGCCTGAGCTCATTTAAAATGGACTAAGGTGAAGTGAAAAAGCATTTGAAATTCTTTTTGGAAATCATGGACATTGTGTCCTCCGGACTAAAGACCACTCAGCTTGTAATCAGTGCACTTGTTATCAAAGCCAGTATTCATGATGGTATAGGGGAGAATTAGCGCACACTGCATGGGTGACGAGCACATCTGTGAAGGCACCATTAATGCTGAATGATATATACATGTTTTGGCAACATATGCTGCCATCTAGATGACGTCTTTTTCAGGGAAGGATTTGCTTATTTCAGCAAGAGCAATGCCAAACCACATTCTGCATGTATTACAACAGCATGTCTCTAGGGCTGGGCGATAAAACGATAACAATAATTATCATAATATAACTTTCCTCAATAGAACTATAAGAAATGTTCGATAAATATTCAATGTAATAGAGTATTCTCACACTAGCAACAGCCCTGGTGGGGTTTTCTACTGCAACAAAGCGACACTACTCTGCTATCGCCAGGAGAGGGCACACTTCCGAGTTTTTGGACATGATTACAGAGGGAGGGGGCGACAAGTAAAATGAGTCGCCAAATATACTTTAGCAACGTCTGAAACGTGGAGTTATATATTCCCTGTTTGAGTGGAGCGATCGGTGATCTGTTCTCCTGTGATCGAGTGTGAGTGATAAGTGGCGTATCTGTACTGGCCCAGAGTGAACTCACTTCTTTCCTAACATCCTAACAAGCTTTAGCAGTGTTAATTCACGTCTGCTCCTCACAACTACAGTGCTGTTACAGCGCTCGAACAGTCATATTTAGTATAAGTGCATTCCCAAGCAGCGAAAGTGAAAGAAAGAAGTGGGTTCATGCAAGTGAAACGAAAGTAAACTGAAAATGCTGCGTGTGGCGTTGGAGAGCGAGAAAACATTATTTTTCCATGCTAGCTGTCTTTAGCAGCTGGCTAACTTTAAGCAGTGCTCCGTCACTCGCACAACACGGCGAACTGATGTTACTGTAGATCAAACACCGCAAAAAAGCACCGGTTTCAGTTTAAACGTACCTAAAAGGAGGACTCTGTTGTCTAGTGTTAGATATATTGTGGTTTACCCCTCAAACACTTACAGAGAAATCCAGACGTCTGCTAGCTGGTGTCTAAATACTGTGATACGCTCTGACATGGATGCGGTAGGAGTGTAGGCAGTAAGGCAGTGTGATCCATCACTGACGTACTGAGCCAGCTACTATTTGCTGTTCGTACTAAGTTGACGTTGTTGAGAACTGAACAGTAACCGGATAGCTGAGCACTCGTCACCAGACAGCTAAAATAATCTGTTTTCTTTCTTAAATTATGAATATTACAAAATTTGCAGCTGTGCTTTTCCAGCTTCCCCCCCCCAGTATCCCAAGACAGAATTGTGAAATGTTCCACTGTCTGGCAAGTGTTTGTCATGTTCCGACCAAAAAGTCTAGTTTAAAAAAGCAATTAACCACTCAGGAGCAAAAATCAGCCATTAAAATTTATTGCGATATGTATTGATATCGAACGATATGAATTTTGTGTATCGTGATAACATTTTTGGCCATATCGCCCAGCTCTACATGTCTCCATATTATAATAGTCCAGGTGCTAAACTAGCCTGCCTGCAGTCCAGACCTGTCACCCGCTGAAAACGTGGCGCATTATGAAATGAAAAATATGACAAAGGAGACCCCGAACTGTTGAACAACTGAAATCTTATATCAAACAAGAATGGGAAAACATTTCACTTTCAAAACTGCAGCAATTGGTCTCTCTGAGGTGATGAAACACAGTTGTTTTTGTAGTATTTTCCTTGACATGCTTTGCAGATCATTGCATTCTATTTTTATTTACATTCTGCACAGCGTCCCAACTTTTTTGGAAATGGGGTTGTTATGTCAATATATTTCTAATCCTTTAACGTATCAACATTTTCTGGTGTTTTTAATTCATGTGGCTACAAGTGTAAAGTAATTTTTGGTAGTCATTGGCACATTTGTAGACTGTGTGTACATGGTTTAGTGATAGCTGAAATGATGAGCTAGAAAAGAAAGCACAAACAATTGGTAAAGTACTGCTCATTCTCAGCTGTTATAGTATATTTGGAGAAAAAGCTGTTATCTGTATCCTTAAAATATATTTTTATTGTAAGTGTAAACTTGGATTGCATAATGACTTTAAACTAACATTTGGATTTTATGACATTTATCCATATTTTAATCCAAATAAAGTACTTATAGTGCATGTGTGTGTTTAATTAATAGAATTATACTTGCACATGTACCACATGTAAGCTCCTCCGAGGAACTCTGAGCATGCATGAAATATCATCCACAATTAAATCCAGATTCCTCTGTGTCCCAAACAGCTGAGGGTCATTATAGTACATATCCCTGTTGGACACAAGGCAATAATATTCCAGTGCACATATGCCTTTGACAAATAACTCCATAAAAAATATCAAAGCTTCCACCTGCTCTTATAATTTATGATGTACGGGCCTGATTGTTTGAGTTAGTAAAGAAAATAACCACATCAAAATGTTTCTGATGTAGCCTGAAATATTTTGCAACAGCTGATAGCTGACAAAACCCTACAACAAAAAGATCAACAATCATAACTGCACAACGCCAGTTAATGAGAACAAATTATTTACATCATGTTATTATTCTGAATTCACATTCAAATACATACCTTTTGGTTGCATATGAGTCAGTTTGGACTAGTTTGTAAATCATTGCCAGGACCTTTAAAAACAGTGCTGTAAGCAGAAAAATACCTAAATTTAACAGTTAAAAAAAAAAAAAGTAGAGCAAAGATTTTCCTAAAGCAGTACACTTACCTGTTCTGCATTTTTATATCTTGTTTGTAGTGGTGGGCAATATGGCAAAAATATAATATCATGATATTTATTATTTGAATTTTCATGAAATGTCATGATATTCACATTTTTGGACATCTGATAAGTTGAAAAAGACAACAAAAGAAACCAACAGTGTCGGATTAAAAAAAAAAAACTATCAAAGCTATGAATACTAGTTATTTTTTAATCACTTTGCTGTTCTAAATCTGCAATTGATTGTGATAACGATAAATATCGTCACATTGCCCAGCTATCCTTGTTTAGGGGGTTTTTTCAGCAAATAAAAATTGTCTGTCTTTGATAAATGATGTTATTTGCTTTGGCCGAGTGTTTTGCGGCACTGTTATGCTGCACACTGACACGCCACCCAATGACTTCAGAAACAAAATAACAAATAAGCAAGAAATGTTTCTGCAACTTACATTGTACTATTACCACTTTTAGTTACATCCTAACTATGGTTAAGCTCATTCCTAAGTTGTCATACTGCACAAAGTAAAACTATAACACATCTTCCAGCATGTTTCACAAATCAGTATTTTCAATTGTTTGTAGCCTTTACAACTGCCCTTACATTACACTGTGCATACACACACTGTTTACCTCAACTACAGGTGTTTTACACAGATGAGCTAGTTGCTTATCTCGTCATTATTGTACTCTGACAATTGTGCTTTCACCGGGCACTAAGGATTAATTTGGCAACTGTACTTTAAAAGCAAAATGAATGTTGGGATTTCTTTTTTACTTCTGCATCCAAAAAAATGCATCAGATTGTGGTGCAAAAACAACAATACATATAGTATCCTGAAATTTGTGTAGCATTACAGGCCTAGTCCCACTTAAGTAGTCTTTCTCATTAATTTAATCACTATGGCTTCTCAGTTACAGCATTCGTCGTTTAAAAAAATCTCACATTACTAATTCTGATTTCTCATCAGTGTGAACCAGTCCATGTCTTTGTTACCTAACCTTTATTACCAGACTACTGTGATGCTCTGCTCTTTGGATGCTCTAGTGGGTACCTAAACAAGCTAAGTGAGTAAGTTACTGTTCTGTCTGGTAGTACATTTTTATTTAACTTGTTACAGATTACATTTGCCTAAACCTGTTTACAATATGATTACAATATGCATTTATAATGAATGAACAAAATCATGTCCCGTAGCAGTAACTTTTCAGAAAACAGAAAAAATCCGCTTAAGTTTATATGTAAGTTAAAGTAATTTTGGGCCATTTCTATTGGTTTTTTTTCATCATGATATTTTGATGCAATGTAGAGGGCAGTTGGCATTTTCAAATCATGCAAAAAAACTTATGTATGTATGTAAAAGCTTATATATGGTTTTGTTTGAACAGTGACAATATAATTATGTTGAACATACTACGTATTTCCTATGAAACCTATTTAGAATATTTTACCTCAAACATGTTTATTAGTTTTGCCTCTCTGTAGAGCACTCCTCTCCTGAGAGTAGAATCCCACACTGGTACCCTTTCTGTGGTTACTCTAAATTATTAGTAGCAGCTCCTAGTCCAAACCTTTAGTAAAAAAGCTACTGGATGATACTATATTGTTCCTTCCACCGCATGAGAAAGACTCTGTTTAGATCTTGCTGTACATTTTATCCATGTCTCTTCTGCCTGTAAGTTTACTATCAAAGGTATCTTCGATATCTCTCCTTACGGTGTTTTTCTGTGCCATTGCCACACTTAGCTCGCTAAGAATCTGGACCCATTTCACTGTAAAACTGTTTCAAAAAGTGGTATAATACATTCCTTGAATTGAAGTCAATTTTCTCAACTACAAACAAATCTTAAAAAACAAGACATTAAATATTTTCATATATAACGCTCTCACCAAACTTGTGTACAGATGAAGGGCAGTCACTTCGTATAGTTGTGACAGTGGTATCTGAACTCATCAGCAGGCCAACAGACTTGTCAAACCTGAGAATTAAACAAAATATGGACTAGACAGAAACTGACTGACACTGGTGCACAAATGTCTCTACTATCTAACCTATTACTTGATATGACAAGCATACACGTACAGCTATGCACAATGCACTTCATCAAAAGCCATTACCTTACAATAAATTATGGTATTCATTGATACTGATCAGATTTATGCCCTACCTATATCATGCCTGCCATGGCAGCCATTAACTTAACTGCATGCTTAATTAAAGTCAATAAACAACCCAAACAGACATCCATTACTTTAATATGTGAAAGCAGACCATCACTTTTCTGGCAATCAGGATCTCAGCCCGCCAACTGAAACACCCTTCAGGCCTTAATAAGCTTTGACTTTTTTTTTTTGGTAACTCAAACACTTCCTCTTCTTTGTTTGCACATTAAACACCTCTTCAAAAGGCCAGATGTGTATGTGAATGTGTACGGGCGTATGCCTCTGAGCACAGAGGGAGTGTAATTTGCTCAAGAAGTGACATGTACATACAGTACTAAAGTTATTTTAGTTGAAAGGACGAAGATCAGGCTCCTTGTACTCTTTATAGTCTATACTATAAGCTATACACTATAGCCGATTAATAGATTTAATTTATAAGCTGTTCCAGTCTCTGGAAGTTGCCCTATAACTGTTTTACAGACAAGGAATCCTACCTTGTGTTAGACCAACAAGAACGAGTGTTCAGTTCCAACACCGGTGCTTCTCTCTTGGATAAACTGTGGACTATCTTCTGTATAACCTTCTCTATTCGCGTTAAAACGTCTAGCCTGGTCGTGGCAAATAAAGGCATTGGTCACGAAAATTAAGGTACAATAACAACCAACAACAAATCAAAATCCAATACCACTGAATCACAAATGAATTTACTGTCATTACCTAGCGATATCCTCAGTGTAGCTGGTTACGGTTTCCCCAACTGTTTCGAGATTTTGCAACAGCACAGCTCGTAATTTACCTACCTCGGAGAACTGTTCAGTCATGTCTGTCGGATGAGTCACAGATTAACGTTAAGTCTTAACCGATATAAATGGAAAGCCTCCAACGGGTCCAACGGCGACAATTCTAACCGCTAGCTACGTGGCTTCATATCGATATACAAATTTCCTGAACGTGACGTTAGTCTAGCTAACGTTACCTCTTAGCAAGCAAACCAAGCTTTATGGTTTGCTGTCGCCTAATTTTAACAATCGGCCGTCCCTCACTAGTGGCTTGACATGCTTTTATCAGTGACAGTGTTTATTTGTTGGCATTTTATCGCTGCAGAAAGTCGTTCAGTCTTCATCTCAATTTTGGTATGTATGACTATGTAGGCTATAAATATGCTCGTATATGTCTGAAGTAACAGCGTAGATGCGCAGACTATTTAGCTAATGTTACCTAATTAGCTGTAAAACTAACGTCAGTTACGTTAGTTAGCTAGCTAGCTAGCTAATGTTTTAGTTAAGTTGCTGTCCGTTCACCTTGAAGTTGTATGTCTTGAAATATCCAAATGTATTAAATCAGGATATGAATATGTTTTAAAAAGCTTTTCTTAAATTTGTTACACTGAAATGGGCTTCTCCTGTTTCTCCTTAACGTTACCAATGGATGGATAGGTGGATAGATAAACTTATTGGCACTTTCGACAAAAATGTAGGAAAAAGGTTATAAGAAATGCTACATTAATGATAATAATAATAATAATAATAACTAGAAAAATGCATTTCCAAAAGGAAACGCGGAATGGTTGCGCCGCGGTTACTATGGAATTCTATAGGAGGATCGATGGATGAAAAAAGTACTCATAGAGGAGTGTGGGTCAGTAAGGCGGTGGATTAGAGCTTGGAGACCTGATCTGAATGAGTAGATGTACCTTGGAGGCTGTTGGGAAAAAGACAAATTAGGGCTTTGTTGCGAAAGAAAATGAATGGCACCCTATAGGAGGAACGAGGGATGAAAAAAACGCCAAATAGATGAGTGTGCGTTAGTGTGGCTGTGGATTAGAGCTTGGGAATGTGCCCATGCCCTTCGGTGTCTCTTGTACAATGGAAAAAACAGGGCTATGGTTTGGCCGAAAATGAATGGGATTCTAAGGGAGGAACGAGAGATGAAAAAACGACAAATAGATGAGTGCGGGTCAGGACGGCTGTGGGGACCTGCCCTGAATAAGGCAAGTTTCGTGGTTCTAGCTCGAAAACTGTAGGAGGAGTAGCATTTTATATTTTGAGCGTAGAATAATAATAATAATAATAAGAAGAAGAAGAAGATTACAAAGAACAGTAAGTTGGCTTTTTCAAGCCAACTTAACTAGAAAGGGAAAGTTCGTGAACGAACTTTAAGTTGGCTTGAAAAAGCCAGTTAATGACGTTAAAACATTAAAATGGTTGAAGACTGTTGATAGTTGTTAAAATGTTGGCAAAATTTTGTTAAGCAGAAGCTGCAGTATCTGTCGTGGATGGTAATTCGTTGCTAGTTGCTACCGTGAATGAAGTTCCACCTTAAATTTTGTGCCACCTTAATTTTAGTGCTATGTTAATTGCAGTTCCACCTTAAATGCTGTGCCGCCTCAAATTTAGTACTATGTTAATTGAAGTTCCACCTTAAATTCTGTGCTAACTTAAAGTTAGTGCTATGTGAATTGAAGTTCCACCTTAAATTCAGTGCTAATTTAAAAGCAGTTCCACCTTAATTTCAGTTTCAGTGTAAACTCAGTGCTACCTTAAAAGGAGTTATAATGGTAAAAATGAACAAAGTTAAAATGGTTGAAGACTGTTGATAGCTGTTAAAATGTTGCCAAAATGTTTCTAAGCAGAAGCTGCAGTATCCATGGTGGATTTAAATTCTTTGCTAGTTGCTACTGTGAATCAAGTTCCACCTTAAACTTTGTGCCACCTTAATTTTAGTGCTGCCTTAAAGACCTTAAAACCACCTTAAATTCTGTGTCGCCTTAAAAGAAGTTTCACATTAAATACTGTGCCACTTTAATTTTACCACTACCTTAAATTATGTGCCACCTAAAATTTAATGCTATGTTAATTGCAGTGTCACGTTAAACCAAGTTCCACCTTAAATTATGTGCCACCTTAATTTTAGTGCTGTTAATTGAAGTTCCATCTTAAATTCAGTGCTAAGTTAATGCAGTTCCACCTTAATTTCAGTGTCATTGTGAACTCCGTGCTACCTTAAAAGAAGTTAAAATGGTTAAAATGGTTAAAGTTAAAATGGTTGAAGACTGTTGATAGCTGTTAAAATACTGCCAAAATGTTCCTAAGCAGAAGCTGCAGTATCCGTGGTGAATAGTAATTCTTTGCCAGTTGCTACTGTGAATGAATTTTCACTTAAAAGTTTGTACCACCTTAATTTTAGTGCTATGTTATTTGAAGTTCCACCATAAATTCTGTACCACCTTACATTTAGTGCTATGTTATTTGAAGTTCCACCTTAAATTCTTTGCCAATTTTCGTGCTACCTTAAAGAGAGTTCCAACTGAAATAATGTGCCGCCTTAAACCAAGTTCCACCTTAAATTCTGTTCCACCTTAATTTTAGTGCTAGGTTAATTTAAGTTCCACCTTAAATTCTGTGCCACCTTAAATTCAATGCAATATTAACTGAAGTCCCACCTTAAATTTTGTGCCACCTTAATTTTAGTTTTACCTTAAAGAGAGTTCCACCTTAAGTTCTGTGGCACCTCAAATTTAGTGCTATGTTAATTGCAGTGCCACCTTGAAAGAAGTTCCACCTTAAATTCTGTGCCATCCTAATTTTAGTGCGTTTAAAGAGTTCCACCTTAAATTTCCACCTTAAATTCTGTGCCTCCTTAAAGTTAGTCCGATGTTAATTGAAGTTCCACCTTTAATTCATTGCTAACTTAAATGCAGTTCCACCTTAATTTCAGTGTCAGTGTAAACTCAGTACTACCTTAAAAGAAGTTCCACCTTCAAATTCAGTGCTACCTTAAAAGACGTTCCACCTTAATTTCTGTGCCAGCTTAAATTTGGTACTAAATTAATTCCAGTTCCACCTTAAATTCTGTGCCACCATAAATTTGGTACTATTTTAATTCCAGTTCCACCTTTAATTCTGTGCCACCTTAAATTTAGTGCTATGGTAATTGCAGTTCCACCTTAAATTCTGTGCCATTATAAATTTAGTGATATTTTAATTCTGTGCCATGCTGAATTCATTGCTATGTTAATTGAAGTTCCACCTTAAATTTAAGGCTATGTAATGATAATTCCACCTTAAATTGTGTTCCACCTTAAATTTAGTGATATGTCAATAGCAGTTCCACCTTAAATGTAATGCTATGGAATGATAATTCCACCTTAAATTCTATTCCAACTAAAATATAGTGATTGTTGAATGCAGTTCCACCTTAATTTCAGTGTCAATGTAAACTGACTGCTACCTTACAAGAAGTTTCACCTTAAAATTAATGCTATTTTCATTGAAGTTCCACCTTAAATTCTGTGCCATGTTAAATTTAGTGCTATTGTATGCCACCTTAATTTTAGTACAATGTTAATTAAAGTTCTATGTTAATTTCTGTTCCACCTTAAATTTAGTGATATGTTAATAGCAGTTCCATTTTAAATTTACTGCTATGTTAACTGAAGTTCCACCTTAAATTCTGTGCCATCTTAAATTTAGTGCTATGTTAATTTAAGCTCCACCTTAATTCCTGTTCCACCTCAAATTTAGTGATATGCTAATAGCATTTCCACCTTAAATTGAATGCTATGTTAACTGAAATTCCACCTTAAATTCTGTGCCATCTTAAATTTAGTACTATGTTTATTTAAGTTCCACTTTAAATTCTGTGCCATCTTAAATTTAGTGCTATGTTAATACCGGTTCCACCTTAAATTTAATGCTATATTAATTGAAATTCCACCTTAAATTCTGTGCCATCTTAAATTTTGTGCTAGTTTAATTGAAGTTCCACCTTAAATTCCCTTCCACCTTAAATTTAGTGATTACGTTAATAGCAGTTCCACCTTAAATTTAATGCTATGTTAATTGAAGATCCACCTTAAAATAAGTCCTATGTTAATAGCAGTTCCACCTTCATTTTAATGCTAGGTTAATTGAAATTCCACCTTAAATTCTGTCATCTTTAATTTAGTGTTATGTTCATTGAAGTTCCACCTTAAATTTATTGTTATGCTAATTGAAGTTCCACCTTAAATTCAGTCCTAGCTAAGTGCAATTCCACCTTAAATTGTGTTCCACCTTAACAAATCATTATGTGTGCTGACACTGCTGAGCATTAGGCTGTGAGCATGTGAGACTAAGCGCTCCGTGCGTCAGTTTGGATGGGTGTGTGAGAGAGGTGGCCATTGTGACATCATGTTTGGCATGCTGCCAACAGTCCACCCATTCATTTCCTATGGGAAAAATATCGGCTTTGAACGTTAATTTTCCGGAAACCATACATCGGATCGGTCCAAAAAGCACAAGCGCACTATTGCCGTATATGAGGAAAGTTTGTGCAAAATTTGGTGGTTGTATGTCAAAAACTGCGGGCCGTGAAAAGTTTACAAAATTTGAGCGTAGAATAATAATAATAACTAGAAAGAGAAAGTTCGTGAACGAACTTTAAGTTGGCTTGAAAAAGCCAGTTAATGACGTTAAAACGTTAAAATGGTTGAACACTGTTGATAATTGTTAAAATGTTGCCAAAATTTTGTTAAGCAGAAGCTGCAGTATCTGTTGTGGATGGTAATTCGTTGCTAGTTGCTACCATGAATGAAGTTCCACCTTAAATTTTGTGCCACCTTAATTTTTGTGCTATGTTAATTGCAGTTCCACCTTAAATTCTGTGCCGTCTCAAATTTAGTACTATGTTAATTGAAGTTCCACCTTAATTCTGTGCTAACTTATAGTTAGTGCTATGTGATTTGAAGTTCCACCTTAAATTCAGTGCTAACTTCAAAGCAGTTCCACCTTAGTTTCAGTTTCAGTGTAAACTCAGTGCTACCTTAAAAGAAGTTAAAATG